CACAGAGCCTGACGTGGGGCTCGAATCCATGAACTGTGAGATTCAGTTGGACACTTAACTGACTAAGCCACCCAGGAGCCCCTGAGCTTTTTTTTTTTTTTCTCTTAAGTTTATTTATCTTCATTTTGAGTGCACATGAGAGAGTGAGCATGCAGGAAAGGGGCAGAGAGTAAGGAGAGAGACAGAATCCCCAAGCAGGATTTATGCTGTCAGTGCAGAGCCCAATGCAGAACTTGAACCCACAAACCATGAGTTCATGACCTGAGCCGAAATAAAAAATCAGACACTTAACCGACTGAGCCACCCAGGCATCCCAGGCTTCTAAGGCTTTTTGAGTGATTTATGGCAGAGTAACCACCATGCAAGTGATAGAGTATTCAAGGCTTTCACATTCAGGAAATTTAAGACAGAATTTGCCAATTCCACACAATGTGTTACATTTAGGTGTAAAAGATGTTTCCACTTATTAAAGATGTTTCCACTAATTAAAAGATGTTTCCACTTATTAAAGAAAAATATAGTGAAATTATATATCAAGTTACTACTTTGATTTCTAAAATACAGGATTCTTAAAACTGGTATAACTCAGATGCATACCTGTTTTTTAAAACTGATGGGGCGCCTGGGTGGCGCAGTCGGTTAAGCGTCCGACTTCAACCAGGTCACGATCTCGCGGTCCGTGAGTTCGAGCCCTGCGTCAGGCTCTGGGCTGATGGCTCAGAGCCTGGAGCCTGTTTCCCATTCTGTGTCTCCCTCTCTCTCTGCCCCTCCCCTGTTCATGCTCTGTCTCTCTCTGTCCCAAAAATAAATAAACGTTGAAAAAAAAAATTAAAAAAAAAAACTGCTATGTACACATAGAGGCAACTGACATAATGTAAAGAATAGTAGTTTGGGAGCCTTAGTCCTAGTTCTGCCACCAACTAAGTGTGTGATTTAGACAAGCCATTAACACCTCTCATTTTCCTCATCTAAAAACGTCTCATTTTCCCTATCTAAAAAATGAAGAGTTTGTACCAGATGATCAAAGATACCACCTAGTTTTTATGAGCTGCAAAATGATTTCTATCTGAGGATAGACCCTTATAGATTACTTGTTTAGGCCTTTGAAATGTCATTTACTTAGATATATATATGTGCATGCCCTCGTCCTATATTACAGATAATATTTAAAACAGCTTACATGTGTTATAATCTCACCTTAGACTTTCACTATTATCTTACTGTTGGTTCAAAGTAAGTTTTGTTGTAGAAATTTTGTATTTTAATATGATAGTTCAAAATGGTCTCTACTGATATAGAAGGATACTTCTGGAAAATGAGTAACCACTTACGGTAAACATGTACTTCAATGACTCATGCAATGACCACAGCCTTTCCTTGTTGGTATTCCTCAGAGCTCCATTCTCAGCTCTCGTCTCTTCACACTGGCCTGTCCCATTCACTACCATAGTTTCAATAATCACATAAAGACCGAGTCTCCCAAATCTGTATTTTAGCCCAGATCTACTTCCTGAGGTCCATCTGTATCCACATATTCATCGTCTATTTACATATTGCCACTGTTGTCAATATTTCAAACTCAACACACTGAACAAAGAACCAATCTCCCACTCCTCTGCCAGATCTGCTCTTCTTCTATTATCTCGATGAATAAGAACACAGTCCACTCAGATGTCCAAGCCAGAAATGTGAAGCCACTGACTTGTCCCCTCTTATCCCCCATATACAGTTAATTACCAAATCCTACTGAAATGACACATCACTGTCTTTTATCTTTCCGATACTCTTTATTCCCACTGCTATTACTAAATTACTTTATTAAACCCTGATAATTTCTTAATTTCTTGCTGGATTCTAACAATAGCTTTTTAAAAAACAACAAAGTGTTGGTGAGGATGTGGAGGAAAGGGACCCTCATGCACCCCTGGTGGGAATGTAAATTGGTGTAGCCACTGAGGAAAACAGTATAGAGGCTCCTCAAAAATAAAAAATAGAACTACCAAATGATCCAGCCAATTCCGCTCATGGATAGTTATCTGAAAAGAATAAAAATACTAACTCAAAAAGATATCTGCACCCTATGTTCATTACAGCAATATTTACAATAGCCAAGATATGAAAACAACGTAAGTGTCCATCAACAGATGAATGAATAAAGAAAATGTGGTGCACATATATAAAATGGAATATTATTCAACCATAAAAAAGAAAATCCTGTTATTTGCAACAACATGGATAGACCCTGATAGCATTATTTCAAGTAAACTAAGCCAGACAAAGATAAATAAATAACATATGATCTCACTTATATGTGGAATCTAAAACAAGCAAACAAACAAAAACCCCCTAGTACTCATAGATTTAGAGAACAGATGGGTGGGTGAAGGATGGGGGTTGAGAGGGTGGGTAAAACCAGTGAAAGTGGTCAAAAGGTACAAAATTCCAGTTATAAATTAGTACTGAGGATGTATGTACAGCATGGGAACTATAATAATATCATATTGCATTGTATATTTGAGAGCTGCTAAGAGGGTAGATCTGAAAAGTTTTCATTGGTAAGAAAAAAATTGTAACTGTATGAAAATGGATGTTAACTAGACTTACCATGGTGATCATTTCACAATAAATACAAATATTGAATCATTATATTTTACATCTGAAACTAATGTTACAGTCAATTATATCTCAACAAAAAACTTTTTTTTTTTTTTTAATTTTTTTTTTTCAACGTTTATTTATTTTTGGGATAGAGAGAGACAGAGCATGAACGGGGGAGGCGCAGAGAGAGAGGGAGACACAGAATGGGAAACAGGCTCCAGGCTCTGAGCCATCAGCCCAGAGCCTGACGCGGGGCTCGAACTCACGGACCGCGAGATCGTGACCCGGCTGAAGTCGGACGCTTAACCGACTGCGCCAACCAGGCGCCCCACAAAAAACTTTTTAAGTCAATCTTATTGGGGTATATACAATTTCATGCAATAAAACCCAACAATTTTAAGTACATAGTTCAATGAGTTTTGACAAATGTAAACATTCATGAAACTACTATACCTAACACTATATAGTATATAAGTATTTATATAATCCCAGAAAGTTCCTAGGGCCCCTCTGTAGTCAGGGGCAACTCACCCCCAACTCACCCCAGGAAACGTTGATCTAATTTCTATCACCACAGACTCATTTTGCCTGTTCCAGAGAACCATGTGAATGGAATCATGTAATATGTAATTTTTTGTACCTGACTTTTTTGTTCAGCATAATGTCTGTGATATTCATCCATGTTGTATGTATCAGCAGTTTATTTTTTTTATTGTTGAGTTGTAGTCTAGTGTTTAATCATGATAATTTTTTGCTTATTCACTGCTTCTTAGCTCAGTTTACCTGCCACGAGACACATAGACTTTGATCCATTTTCATACTGCCTCTAAAGTCATCTTTCTAAAATGCAAATCTGCTTCTGTCCCTCATTTTTTTCCAATTGTTTCTCATTGTCTGAAGAATAAAGGATGGACTTCTGAACAAGACCTTCATGAACCTCCCATGCCTTTGTCCCTAATTCCCTCTCAAACCCCCCAACTGCTTGGGCCCCCAATGTCATTTCTCTGTTTATAGTTTTTACATGTGAGTACATCCAAACTGAGGAGAAAAGTGACTGTTTCAATTCATTTCTGGAAATAAATTTAGGTCCCAAGTATTACATGGCCTGACAGCTCCACCTGACTTCATATTAATCCCATACATTTTAGGACTGATACTTCATAGGTATGTGGTCAGTTGCCAATGTATTGCCTTGTCCTCATTTCATATTACACCTGAATGATCACAGAGACTAAGACATCAAGGTATAATCTTTTATGCATAAGCTATAATCACACTAAAGATGCCATTTATATCTTGCTTTTGTATCTACTTCAAGAGCATTTTTCATGTTGCTACATTCTGTTCATAAATATTATGTTTAATGGCTAAAAAATGCTCTAAAAAAGATGCATACATCTCATCAGTATAACACAGTTAAACCTTTCACCTATAGCTGGGCATTTAGATTACCTCTAAATTTTTGTGTTAAATTTAAGTAATGTTGCAATAAACACCTTCCTGTACAAAGTGTATTTTACATTTTAGGTATTTTTGGGGGGGCATAGAATCCCACAAGGGGAATTACTGCATTCAGAAAGCATGAATAATTTATGGTTTTAATATATTTATAAAACATTATCAAGTAATACATGAAAATAATTTTAACAGCCTGGTCAACCTCACTCCCCTTTCCAAGGCTTGTTCCTCAGAGACAATCTCTTCTATTCATTTATTGTAGTTCTTATACTCTATTTACCAACTACAGATATTGTTTTCTTACTTCCAGTTATGATAATGAGATTATAGCTCAACTACAACACTTCTTACTGCCTCTGTTAATTCAGGAGAGGTTAACTTTGTAATGCCAAATGTATACATAAACATATTTCTTCTCTCTCAACTTATAATAATATATCTTTCTATTAGTATTCTTAGTCTTTTCCAATAGCCATGCACATACTTTTACATTATTAGGGCTAACAATATTTATAATTTATTTTGAAACCATAATAAAGTTGTCCATGCTAGTGGCTTTTGAAACTTGAAAATTAAATAAAGAGTATTTACATTATGATTATATAGGTACTGTTAAGTGAAAAAACAAGTAGTAGGTTATGATTATGCTTCCTTCTACCAGGTACCAATATCATGACCCCTAAACCACTCAAAGGAAAATATTCTTACATCATGGTCAATGGATTCTCATACAACTTTGATTCCAGCCTCTGTAAAATAATAATGACTACACCAAGTAAAGCACTAAAATTTATATTTCCTTAAACCTTGGCAAGTTCTAACTTGCTACTGATACCAAAGTCCAATGCCAGGCTTCCAAAATTATGATTGTTATTTTGCATCTGACTCCAAAAATTTTTATCATCTTATAAAGATGATATGACTAAGTCATAAAGCGTCCCCACCTGCCAGAGCATCCCGATAAAGCTGCACAAAATGATTGAAGATATCCTTCGGCAAACACTTCTCATCTGGTAGACACTGTAGAAGAATGACTATCTCAGACTGACCCACTGCATGCATTCCCTTGGTTGTGAAACACCAGCACTTCCTGTTCACATCTATAAATGGAATAAATATATAAAAATAAAGACATTCTTCTTAATATTTTCCTTTAAAAATGCAGAGAAACCTGTGTTATAATACAGCAAAGAACAATATAGGTCATACTGAAACTATATAATTCAATTGTGCACTATAAATGCATTGAGCCAAAAAACAACTGTAGAAAATAAAACATACCAATGCCTCTGGCTTTAAGCAAATACTTAGAAAAACAACTGGAAGGGAAGTAAAAGAAAAAAGCAAAAGAAAATGCAATTAAAACTTTTAACTCCTATTATTGGAAGGTGTAATTACTAAAGAAAAACATTTCATTAAAAATAAAATAAATAAAACAAAACTAGGTATCCTAGGCTATAATGATTAAAGAATATATCCCCCCCGCCACCTGTATTTTAAAAAAGTCACTCTACCAAGGGAAATAATTACTTATGTAAAACTAGAAACAACAACAATAAAAGCCAATATTATAACTTTGGATTCAGCTTGTGGCCTAAAAAATATATACTTTTACATATACTTTTTAAATTTAATCTGTGACTGAAAGATTATAGCTTTTTCTTTTTTTTTTAAGATTTTATTTTTAAGTAATCTCTACACCCAATGTGTGGCTTGAACTTTATAACCCCGAGATCAAGCATTGCATGCTTACTGACTAAACCAGCCAGTCCTTTTTGGGAGAAAATTCTAGATAAACAGAGATATGATTTTACTTGGTTTCATTCTGTAAAAAGTGGTGAAAGTGGTGAGAGGATGGCTCTTCTGGACTACTTACTTCCACTTCTTTACCTTAAGGCTTTGTGGAGAACCAACAGCACAAGCCATATGTAGTTAATGTTCATTCTTTGACACTTTTATTATTTATACTCCAACACAATAGGATCCCCAAAGGAATTGAAATAGGATTCAAATGTAATTATAGATATCACAATGTATATCAAAACTAATAGACTCCTTTTTCTCACTTTAGGGAATGTTACTTTACGTATCTAAACAGGAAGCACCCAATCCAACTATATTAAGATGGTGTACACTTCAGGAATTCTGGGTTAGCTATTTTCTAAGTATAAATTATGAACTAGATATGGTCAACTGAAATTTCAAGCAAGTTATTTTAAAATATGATTCTAGAAGGAAAGGAGGCAAGCATTAATAACTGGGCAAACATACAAGGGTACAATTAACAAGTAAACCAGAAACCTATATTTTATTAATATAGAACCTCAAAGGAAGTAGCATATAGGTGTTTCTGGTGTCTGAGGTCAACTTAAAATAAGTATACAGTGAGAATGAGAGGATAGTTCCCCAGTGCTTCCCTCCTTTCTCCAAAACTCTGCCTATTAACATTCATCCAGGATAAATGCATTCTCTATTTTCCAACACCGTCTTAGAATCAAGATTCTAATTGTCCTCTCATTCTGATGCCCAAGAAACTAGCCCCAAGAACTGAGAGGTTTCTGAATCTTAACGTACAAGGTACTGAAGTTTTACTATGTGTTAGCTAACTAACATTTCTCTCAAATAAGGCTTTGCACACAACTAAGGTGTATGAGATTTAAATCTAGCATGTAAATTGTTTGACCCTCCTGGATAATTTATCCACCTCCTCTACTCTGGTGGGGAGTTGTGACATAGCACATCCATCTCAGGAAGAACTTAGATCAGTTCAACTTTTGTTTGGCTTTCCTCCATGGAAAATTCATCTATCTCATCTTAAGAGTTTCAGTTAGTCCCATAGTTGTCCTCTGGGATATATTATACAAACCAACTTCTTCCGTACCCAGTTTTCAGTAAGCTGTGGATCCATCCATATAAAAATACTTGTGTGTACCGAATTTTTAAGCTTTACTTATTATCTAAGAGTCAGTAAAGTATCTCATTTTAATTAAAAAAAAATTCTAACTTACAATTTACAATTTTAACCATTGACAACAAATTTGCATTTAAAACAAATACAAGTGGGTCAGGGCCACCATCCTCTAATTGCTGCATTACTGAAATCTGTGATGGTTTCTCTTCCACAGCATAGTCTGTAAGGAAAAACAAACAAACAAACAAAACATGTAAAGGATTAGTTAAAGGGAGAAACCAAGAGAGAAATCTGATGGAGGAATGGGCTGATTATCCACAGGAAAGAATTAAGCATTTGATTTGTAGTTAGGGTGAACATAGGTTTATACCTGCTGTCTTAGTGTCATGCTAATAGTGTCCCTTTCATTCTCAAAAGTAACCCAGTCCAGTTTGGATGAGAACATGGTTATCCTATGTATAGGCTTCTCCACAAAATGGTTTATGCCATAGTCTAAAGACAGCCCTTTAATTTAAAAAAATTCACCAACTATCATAAGAAGAATTTTACACATTACATGTTCTAAGGCCAACATTTAAAATAATCCATGACGGACAGAGGTGTGTAGGAGATGAGCTAGATGGGTGATGGGTATTAAGGAAGGCACTTGTTGTGAGGAGCACTGAGTGTATGTAAGTGACGAATCACTGAGTTCTACTCCTGAAACCAGTATTGTATTGTATGTTAACTAAAATTTAAATAAAAAATAAGATAAAATGAAATAAACCATGATATACAATAAAGTGGTAATAGAAGGTAAAATAGTTACCTCTGGATGAAAAGATGTTGAGGGGTTGAGGTAGAGGAGAATCCTTTTTATTCTATATCCTTTAGTACTGTTGAAATTTTCTACCATTAAAAAATTAAACTTTAGGAGCGCCTGGGTGGCTCAGTTGGTTAAGTGACTGACTCTTTATATCGGCTCAGGTGGTGATCTTGCTGTAGTGAGATTGAGCCCCACATCATGTTCTGCACTGAGCATGTAGCCTGCTTGGGATTCTCTCTCTCCCTCTCTTTCTGTCCCTTCCCCCCTCTCAAAATAAATAAATAGACATTTAAAAAATTAAACTTTAAAAATGTACCCAGAAAATAAAAGTATCATAAAGTGACTGGTTTCATGACACACTTCCTCTAAGTCAAGAGTTCAGTACATATATCAATCACCAAAATCACCAGTAAATCACACAACAGATTCCAAACAAGGACAAGTTATTACTTGAGACCTTGCACAGAACCTTTCCCATTTAATCCCTGAAAGCACAGTACGTGATATTCAGCCACGCCATTTTGAATGACAGCAGCCTTCCCAGCTTGAAGTCAAAATCATGGATAACAACTATTGTAGAATGTAAAGATACAGAAAAGGAACTGAAAACCTGTAAGTTGCATGTTGTTTGATTAGTTATATAAAATGCATCATTATACTCAAACTTTCACTCTTCGCAGATGACATGATACCCTACGACATGATACTCTATGGAAAACCCAAAAGACTCCACCAAAAAACTGCCAGAACTGATCCATGAAATCAGCAAAGTTGCAGGAAATAAAATCAATGCACAGAAATCGGATGCATTCCTATACATGAACAAGGAAGCAACAGAAATAGAAATCAAGGAATCGATACCATTTACAATTGCACCAAAACCCATAAAATACCCAGGAATAAATCTAAACAAAGAGGTGACAAATCTATACACTGAAAACTATAGAAAGCTTAGGAAAGAAATTGAACAAGACATAAAAAATGGAAAAATATTCCATGCTCACGGACAGGAAGAAAAAATATTGTCAATACGACCCAAAGCAATCTACATATTCAACACAATCACTATCAAAACAACACCAGCATTCTTCACAGAGCTAGAAAAAACAATCCTAAAATTTGCACGGAAACAGAAAAGACCCCAAGTAGCCAAAGCAATCTTGAAAAAGAAATCCAAACCAGGAAGCATCACAATCCCAGACTTCAAGCTATATTACAAAGCTGTAATCATCAAGACAGTATGGTACTGGCACAAAAACAGACACTCAGATCAATGGAACAGAATAGAGAACCCAGAATATGGACCCACAAACGTATGGCCAACTAATCTTTGACAAAGCAGGAAAGAACATCTAATGGAATAAAGGTAGTCTCTTCAGCAAGTGGTGCTGGGAAAACTGGACAGCGACATGCAGAAAAATGAACCTGGACCACTTTCCTACACCATACACAAAAATAAACTCAAAATGAATGAAAGACCTAAATGTGAGACAGGAAGCCATCAAAATCCTCCAGGAGAAAGCAGGAAAAAACCTCTTTGATCTTGGCTGCAGCAACTTCTTACTCAACATGTCTCCAGAAGTAAGGGAAACAAAAGCAAAAATGAACTACTGGGACCTCATCAAAATAAAAGCTTCTGCACAGTGAAGGAAATAATCAGCAAAACTAAAAGGCAACTGACCGAATGGGAGAAGATATTTGCAAATGACATAACAGATAAAGGGTTAGAATCCAAAATCTATAAAGAACTTATCAAACTCAACACCCAAAAAACAAATAATCCAGTGAAGAAATGGGCAAAAGACATGAACAGATACTTCTCCAAAGAAGATATCCAGATGGACAACCGACACATGAGAAAATGCTCAACATCACTCATCATCAGAGAAACACAAATCAAAACCACAATGAGATACCACCTCACACCTATCAGAATGGCTAACATTAACAACTCAGGCAACAGCAGATGTTGGCAAGGATGCAGAGAAAGAGTATCTCTTTTGCACTGCTGGTGGGAATGCAAGCTGGTGCAGCCACTCTGGAAAACAGTATGGAGGTTCCTTAAAAAACTAAAAATAGAACTACCCTATGACCCAGCAATTGCACTACTAAGTATTTATCCAAGGGATACAGGTATGCTGTTTCAAAGGGGCACATGCACCCCAATGTTTATAGCAGCACTATCAACAATAGCCAAAGTATGGAAAGAGCCCAAATGTCTACCGGTGGATGAATGGATAAAGAAGATGTGGTGTGTGTGTACACACACACACACACACACACACACACACACACACACACACAATGGAGTATTACTTGAAAATCAAAAAGAACAAAATCTTGCCATTTGCAACTGTGTGGATGGAACTAGAGGGTATTATGCCAAGTGAAATTAGAGAAAGACAAATATCATATGACTTCACTCATATGAGGGCTTTAAGAAACAGAACGGATGAACATAAGGGAATGGAAGCAAAAATACTATAAAAACAGGGAGGGGGACAAAACATAAGAGACTCTTAAATATAGAGAACAAACAGAGGGTTACTGGAGGGGTTGTGGGAGGGGAGATGGGCTAAATGGGTAAGGGGCATTAAGGAATCTACTCCTGAAATCATTGTTGCCCTATATGCTAACTAATTCAGAATTAAACTTTAAAAAATGCATCATTATAGACAGGGAGAACAGATACCATTTCCTACTGACGAAAAGAAACGAAAAAACTATTTTTTGGATGTAAGGGGAAATGTCTACTCTGCCAATGAAAATATTTATTGAAATGTCAATACTACCCAAAGCTATCTACACATTCAATGCAATCCCAATCAAAATTGCACCAGCATTCTTCTCGAAACTAGAACAAGCAATCCTAAAATTCATATGGAACCACAAAAGGCCCCGATAGCCAAAGTAATTTTGAAGAAGAAGACCAAAGCAGGAGGCATCCCAATCCCAGACTTTAGCCTCTACTACAAAGCTGTCATCATCAAGACAGCATGGTATTGGCACAAAAACAGACACATAGACCAATGGAATAGAATAGAAACCCCAGAACTAGACCCGCAAACGTATGGCCAACTCATCTTTGACAAAGCAGGAAAGAACATCCAATGGAAAAAAGACAGTCTCTTTAACAAATGGTGCTGGGAGAACTGGACAGCAACATGCAGAAGGTTGAAACTAGACCACTTTCTCACACCATTCACAAAAATAAACTCAAAATGGATAAAGGACCTGAATGTGACACAGGAAACCATCAAAACCCTAGAGGAGAAAGCAGGAAAAGACCTCTCTGACCTCAGCTGTAGCAATCTCTTACTCGACACATCCCCAAAGGCAAGGGAATTAAAAGCACAAATGAATTACTGGGACCTTATGAAGATAAAAAGCTTCTGCACAGCAAAGGAAACAACCAACAAAACTAAAAGGCAACCAACGGAATGGGAAAAGATCTTTGCAAATAGCATACCGGACAAAGGGCTAGTATCCAAAATCTATAAAGAGCTCACCAAACTCCACACCTGAAAAACAAATAACCCAGTGAAGAAATGGGCAGAAAACATGAGTAGACACTTCTCTAAACAAGACATCCGGATGGCCAACAGTCACATGAAAAGCTGCTCAACGTCGCTCCTCATCAGGGAAAAACAAATCAAAACCACACTCAGATATCACCTCACGCCAGTCAGAGTGGCCAAAATGAACAAACCAGGAGACTATAGATGCTGGAGAGGATGTGGAGAAACGGGAACCCTCTTGCACTGTTGGTGGGAATGCAAATTGGTGCAGCCACTCTGGAAAACAGTGTGGAGGTTCCTCAAAAAATTAAAAATAGACCTACCCTATGACCCAGCAATAGCACTGCTAGGAATTTATCCAAGGGACACAGGAGTACTGATGCATAGGGGCACTTGTACCCCAATGTTTATAGCAGCACTCTCAACAATAGCCAAATTATGGAAAGAGCCTAAATGTCCATCAACTGATGTATGGATAAAGAAATTGTGGTTTATATACACAATGAAGTACTACAGGGCAATGAGAAAGAATGAAATATGGCCCTTTGTAACAACGTGGATGGAAATGGAGAGTGTGCTGCTAAGTGAAATAAGCCATACAGAGAAAGACAGATACCATATGGTTTCACTCTTATGTGGCTCCTGAGAAACTTAACAGAAACCCATGGGGGAGGGGTAGGAAAAAAAAAAAAAGAGGTTAGAGTGGGAGAGAGCCAAAGCATAAGAGACTCTTAAAAACTGAGAACAAACTGAAGGTTGATGGGGGGTGGGGGGAAGGGGAGGGTGGGTGATGGGTATTGAGGAGGGCACCTTTGGGGATGAGCACTGGGTGTTGTATGGAAACCAATTTGACAATAAATTTCATATATTGAAAAAAAATTTAAAAACAAAACAAAAAAACCAAAAAAATCCATAGCAAACATCATACAATGATGAAAGACTGAAAGCTTTTTCTCAAAGATTAGAAAAGGCAATGATGCCTGTTTTCACCTCTTCTACCTAACATAGGTACTGAGTTTCTAGCCACAATATCAGGCAAGAAAAAGAAATAAAAGGCATCTAAACTGAAGTAAAATTATCTTTGTGTGCAGATGATATTAAGTTATATACAGAAAACCCTAAATATGCCACACATAAAAACCATTAAAAAAAAAAACCATTAAAACTTAGAAATGAATTCAGTGAATCTGCAAGATACAAAGTCAACACACAAATATCAGTTAGCATTCATTTCTTTCTATACACTAAAAATGAACAATCAGAAAAGGAAATTACAAAAACCCTCCATGTACAGTGACATCAAAAAGAATAAAATAACAGACTAGATAAAATATTTGTTATACATAATGAACAAAGGGCTAAGATCCATAACATATAAAAACCTTCAATGAACTAAAAAGAAAAATACAAAACCTCTAAAGAAAGTAAGCAAGGAACTCACACAGGTAAATTTACAGAAAAATAAAAGTCTAATAAGTAAAATATAGTAAGTATCAGTTGTAACAAAATAAAAATTAAAAGAATGAGATTTTCTTTTTCTATTGTACAAATAATTTTTAAAAACTGGTATCCAATGGTGGTGAGGGTAAAGAGAAAAGAGGAACTTTCCCTCAAATATTCCTGGTGGTAGTATAAATTGGTAGATTAATTTAGCGGTATCTTAAAATTTTAACTGTTTACTCCCTTTGACTTAGCACATTCAATTTGAAAGACTATCCTACAAAAAGAAAATCCAAATGTGCAATGAGATGTATACAAGAATTAGCTCTGTACCGTCATAATAGTCAAAAGTTATCAACAACCCAAATGTTCATCAGTAGAGGAATAATTAAACTGCAGTATGACCATTAAATGGAATGCGGTTAGCCTGGAAAAAGAATCAGAGAGTTCTATATGTAGTTACTCATATGGAAAAGTAAAGTAAAATAGTCAAGTTGGAGGATAAGAATTGGATTGAAATAGGGCTTTTTTCCCCCCTCTCTTTTTACTTTTATATAATTTTTTTAGGTGTTGGACTGGGATATTTTAATTTTGAGTAGAGCCTTTTCTGTATTCTAAAAAGAAAATAGAATTAAAAGGAGTATTAGTTGGTGTTTCAGGTTGAACTGTGTCTGCCTCAAATACATATATTTAAGTCTTAATCCTTAATACTTCAGAATATGACTCATTTGGAAACAGGGTCTTTATGGAGGTAATCAAATTAAAATGAGGTCATTAAGGTGAGAGCTCCTAATCCAATATGACTGGTAACCTAATAAAAGGGAAAATTTGGACATAGCATGTGGGAGAATACCATGTGAACATAAGATGGCCATCTACAAGCCAAGGAGAAAGACATGGAATAGATCTTCCATTACAACCTTCAGAAGGAACCAACCCTGTCACCACCTCAATCTCAGACTTCTAGCCTCTGGAATTGTGACACAATAAATTTTTATTGTTTAAACCACCAGTTAGTGGTACTCTGTTATGACAGTCCTAGCAAACTAACATAGTTGGGGACTTTCCAAAGTAAATGACTTGCTCCGGGTAAAAAAATCTCAAGTGAGAATTGAAAAAAAACTCCAAAAAAACAAAAAACAAAGATATCTTTTTTTAAAAGCAAGCTAGGGGGCAGCATTATGCAGTTAAACAGAGGAATCTTACCCATCCTTCCCAATATGCCAACAATAGTGTGGAGGGGGGATCTTTTGTTTCCAAGGGAATTCAAGAAAGGCACAGAAGTTAGTTAGAAAAGTAGATGACTTGCCAAGAAACTACCTAGAATGGCAAGAAAATAGGAGTCAGGCAAAGAGAGGCATTTCTGTGGGATCACCCATGCCAGAGAACCACATGGGATCAAATGTAACATACACCACAAAACCACCACCTGACAGTGCCTATGACTGACACAGACAGTGTACCACAACATAAAATAGAAGATTGACCTGGGAATGCTGGCTCTTGTTCTCAAAAAGACAAAGACTATCCTGTAACAAGCTTCACAGGTCATTAGAATTAGTGCCCTAGAAAAGATAGGCAGAATCTAAGAGATTTGAACCAACTGAGAATAGGTTAATAATCCTGGATTTAAAATTACCAGGTAACACTCAATTTGCCTGAAAAGACCAAGATGAAGTTGTTTGCCATGAGTCAGGTTAGTCAGTGTTTCTCAACAAGGGCATCCTTGGCATTTAGCGTGGCCAATTCTTCACAGCACCATTCTGATTAACACAGGATGTTTAACACAGGACGTCCCAGATTATTAAACACCAGCAGCAACCCCAATCACTGTAACAAAAATATCCCACCCCACATTCCAAGCGTCATCTAAGTACCTTCTCCAGTTCTCTGAGCTAGAGGCTCAGAGTCAAAAAGTCAGTTCTAGAAATAGAGAATTACATATTTGCACATACAAACTTTACTACCAAAATATCATGCCATATACTTTTATTATCACAACTAACACAATCTACTGCAATCTACTGCATTTATTCAACTTATTCTCCATTTTCCTGAACTAGGATGTAAACTTCATGGAGTAAAGGACTAAAGTATTTCAATACTGATATCACAGTACCTGAAATAAAATAGGTACTTGCCAAATGTTTATTGCTTCCTTGATTATAAAAAAATCATTGCACAAATGAGCATATGAGAAAGAAACATTAATGTGGCCTTATCTGGGCTGGGCAATATCATACACAACTCAAATTTACATCTTCAACAATGACAAACACATTTTAAGCTGTTTATTAATGACAGTGACATCAACTGAGGTCAGTTCCTTTATTTTGTTGTTTATATATATTAAGGTTTATTCTTTGCAATGTAGCGTTTAACGTATTTTTTTTTTACCTGAGGTAAAACTGAAACTAATTATGTAAGTTTCAGCTGTACAACATAATGACTCAGTATTTATATATATTGCAAAATGATCACAATAAAGTCTAGTTACAGAATTTTTCTTGTTATGACAACTTTTAAGATTTACTCTCTTAACAAATTTCAAATATGCAATACAGTATTATTAACTATAGTTGACATGCTGTGTATTACATCCCCAAGACTTACTTATTTTATACCTGGAGTCAGTACCTTCTGACTCTGTTCAGCCATTTTGCCATTTTACCCTCCACTTACCCTCACTCTTTCCCTGCCTCAGACAACCACTCATCTGTTCTAACTATGAGCTTAGGGCTTGGGGGTTTTTGGTTTTCTTTTATTTTTAGGGTCTACATATAAGACAGATCATATGGTATTTGTTTTTCTCTAACCATTTGTGTGTTTACATGTAATTTTCTTTAATATGGCACTTTTGGATTCCAATCTCAACTTTATCATTCATTCACTAGCCAAACGACTGAGAACAATTTGAACTCTGTGAGCCTCACTTTTTCCTCATATGTAAAAATGAAATGTTAATATTCTCCTTATAAGGCTTTTATGAAGATAAAATGAGATAATACCTGTAAAATGAAGTACATAATAGGGACTGAGTGAATGATGGTGCCTTTCTTATTTCCCTTTCCTTTTCTTTTCAAACTTCCCACTCATGGCTTTCCACAGGACAAACCTTACTGCAAATTTATGAATAAGCTTTATACTCAAGTACCATTTGTGCCTATTTATACCCCCTTACAGTGTGAATAAAGGTCCTTTACTACAATTCTTAAAAATTCAAATCATCAGTGTTCACTTATTTCGTCCCCAAATTACAAAGTGGAAAATGTGATATGCTAGGTCTTCAAAAAGCACTATATTTATGACAAAAATAACTGCCTTGCAAAAACAAAAAACAGGAAAGTGCCTGTGACTGACCAATATCCACCTATTCATAAAGACCAATTCTCAAGTACAGAAGAGCTTGTAAAAATTCTCAAGTACAGAAGAGTACTATATCCTTGCTCATTAGCAAATACCAAAACCAGTGCAGTAAGAGCTACAGCAGTTCAGATTACAACTCTGCCTGTATCCAAACACCTGTTCCAACTTAACTATTATTAACTGAAAACAAAAATAATTATTAGGCATTTTAAGAGTATATCACAGGAAAGGCTACAAAAGGTCTCTAATTTAACCTTGCAACTTTATTTCTAACCAAGGCTATACAAACAGATACAACACCAGAATTATAAGAAAATAAATGCAACATCAAATCTTAAATATGTTTGGAGCCACCAGACTCATTTCTTTTAACATATTATAAATTAGGGGTGCCTGAGTGGCTCGGTCAAAACTCTTGGTTTTGGCTCTGGTCATGATTTCACAGTTTTGTGAGTTCAAGCCCGTGTTGGACTCTGCGCTGGCAGCTGGGAGCCTACTTGGGATTCTCCCTCTCTCCTTCTTTCTCTGCCCCTCCCCTACTCATGCTGTCTTGGTCTCTCTCAAAGTAAATAAATAGGCTTTAAAAATATATATATATATAGACACATATATATGTGTCTATTAATTTTTTATATATCCTGTTATCTTTAAGTTTTTTTTAACGTTTATTTTTTATATATTAATTTTTTATATATCCTGTTATCTTTAAATTTTTTTTTTAACGTTTATTTATTTTTGAGACAGAGAGAGACAGAGCATGAATGGGGGAGGGTCAGAGAGAGAGGGAGACACAGAATCTGAAACAGGCTCCAGGCTCTGAGCTGTCAGCACAGAGCCCGACGTGGGGCTCGAACTCACGGACCGTGAGATCATGACTTGAGCCGAAGTCGGCTGCCCAACTGACTGAGCCACCCAGGCGCCCCATCCTGTTATCTTTTAAATAACACACATTGTCTGTTAAGTTTTACGTATAGGTTTATAAGTGCTAATCTGTAAAAGGCAAGCAATTAGACCATATTCCCCCTTTTTCTTTTTAATATTTTATTCATTTTTTTGAGAGACAAAGAGAAACAGAGTGCAAGCAGGGGAGGGGCAGAGAGAGAGGAGGAGAAAGAATCCAAAGCAGGCTCCAGGCTCTGAGCTGTCAGCACAGAGCCCAAAGAGGGGCTAAAACCCATGAACTGTGAGATCATCACCTGAGCCAAAGTCAGACAGAACCACTGAGCCACCCAGGCACCCCAAAACATATCCCTTCTTTTTAAACCATATTCTGGCCATTCTGCATTTTTAAAACTTTTTAGTACAGAAATTTTCAATCATATAAAAGTAGACATAACAGCATAACAAACCCTTAATTGCCAGTGCTCAGGTGAAACAATTATTAAAGTTAATCCTCACCTACTTCTCCCTTATTTAATCATTTAAAAATAAATCTCAGATACCATTTCACTTTTTTTTTTAATACCTTTATGTAGGCTCCACACTCAACCTGGGGCTTGAACTCACAACCCTGAGATCAAGAGTCCCATGCTCTACCAACTGAGCCAGCTAGGCACCCCAAATATCATTTCATCTTCAAATATTTCAGTATAAATCTCTGAAACACAGGGACTATTTTAACAGAACAGTACCATTATCACATCTTAAAATATTAATAATTTCTTAATATCAAATATCTGAATAATGTTAACATTTTTAGTAGACAAATTTTTAATAGACTATTTTTTTAGAGTAGTTTTAGGTTCACAACAAAATTAAGCAGAAGTTACAGGGCATTCCATATACCCCTGTCCCCACACATTACTAGCCTCTGCCATTATCAACATCTCTCATTGTATTCTAGTTTACTAAGGTGGAAGTCTAGACGATTGACTTTAGATCTTTCTTCTCTTATATCCAGTGCTGTATTATTATTGTATAACTTTTAATTTTGTTTAGCTTTTTAATGTTATGCTTGAAGCAGAAATCAAAGAGGTCTTTATACTATGATTAGTGAATGTCTCAAGTCTCTTTTATTATATAGGTTCTCCTTCAAAAATACCTTATTGAAAAAACTGAGTCATTTGTCCTATACTTTCCCACAATATGGATTTCACTGACTGCCTTCTTAGGTGGTGATGTTTAATGCATTTGTCTAACTCTGTATTTCCTATAAATTGATTGCTAGATCTAGAAATTGATCAGATTTGAATACAACTTCTCCTGGGAAGACTATTTCATAGACCCTGAATTATTTTTAATTGAATCAATATTAAGAACCCCTGTAGGAATTAAAAAGGAAAAAGAGAATTACCCAGAATTCCACCAATTAAAATTATGTTTTCAATTTTACATGTTCCCTTTATGTACACGTTTTTATGCCTAAGAATAACTTTTGTAATTATAAACAAAGCAAAACTATGAGTTTGCATTTTATTTTATTCATAGATCATCATAGGCATTTGCCATACTGCTTTATCATATTATATTTTTAATATCTTTTTTTGAGAGAGAGAGAGAAAGAGTCCCAAGCAGGCTCCACACTCAGCACAGAGCCTGACATGGGCTCAAACCCATAACTGTGGTATCATGAGCTGAGGTGAAATCAAGAGTTGCACGCTTAATCGACTGAGCCACTCAGGCACCCCATTATCATAATTATATTTAATGGCTGAGTCAAATGTATATATCATATTTAACTTATCATTATCCAGCTTTGGACAGAAATTATTTCTAATGTGCTTGCTATTTAAAGTAACACTAGGGATGCCTGAGTGGCTCAGTCATTTGAGCATCCGACACTTGATTTTGGCCCAGGTCATGATCTCACGTTCATGGGACTGAGTCCCACACTGGGCTCCATGCTGACACTGGAGCCTGCTTAAGATATTCTCTCTCTCTCTCTCTCTCTCTCCCTCCCTCCCTCCCTCCCTCAGCTCCTCTCCCCTGGTGTCTCTCTCTAAAAAATAAAAAATAAATTTAAAAAATAAACAAGTAAAAAATAAAGTAACACTAAAATGAACATCTTTTTGTTTTATAGCTCTTGTTCTTTAGGAATTATCTTCCAAAAAGGAATTATTGGCTCTAAGAATTGATATATATGGTATTTTAAATGTCTAAAAATGCTGATTTCAACTTAACATCAAATTGCAATGAGTATTATCAACATTTTCTATTTTTCACTACATAGGTATAAAATTCCTACCTCTTAATAGCCAATAAATTTAAATATTTCTCTACTGATTACTCATCCACTTAAGCCTCTCCTTTGCCTATTTATATAATGAAAATGTGATGGTTTTAACAGAAGACACTTTTGTCAGCTGACATTCTGTAACCAACAACCAACTTCTGATTTGTTCTGTCAAAGGAAGCACTGATTTAAGACTGAATATCCTACTCTACCTTTTTCAAATAATTCTCTTCTGGCTTAAAGAAAATTGTGGCCAGGGTATCTGACTGGCTCAGTTGGTAGAGCATGCAACTCTTGATCTTGGGATCATGAGTTCGAGCATCACATTGGGTGCAGAAATTAATTAAAAAACAAAAACAAAAACCAAAAACTGCCACCAACCTAGATGAATAGACAAATTCCTACAAATATAAAACCTGCCATAACTGAATCAGGGAGAAATAGCAAATCCAAATATATCTATAACTAGTAAGGAGATTGAATCAGTAATCAAAAACCTTTCAACAAAGAAACGCTCCAAATAAAACGGCCTTGATTGGTAAATGTTACCAAACATATAAACAACACCAGTCCTTCTCAAACTCTTCCAAAAAGCTGAAAAGGAAGGAACACTCCCTAACTCATTTTATGAAGCCAGCATTACCCTAATACCAAAGCCAAACAAGGCAATACAAAAAAATTATAGACCAATATCCTTTATGAACATTGATGCAAAAAATACTCAATAAAATACTGGCAAACCAAATTTAACAGTACATTAAAAGGATTATGATCAAGGATGCAAGGATGGTTCAACATGGAAAAATCATGTAATATACCACATTAATAGAATGGAAAGAAATCCACATGATCAATGATACAGAAAAAGCATTAACAAAATCTAACATCTTTATGTGATAAAAACATGCAACACACTAAGAATAGAAGGAAACTACCTCAACATAAAAGGCTACATTTAAAAAACTCACAGCTAATATCATATGCAACGGTGAAAGACTAAAAGCTTTTCCTCTAAGATAGGAAAAATACAAGGATGTACAATTTTGACACTTATATTCAAGCTTAGTATTTGGAGTTTAGCCAGAGCAATTAGGAAAGGTAAACAAACAGGCATTCAGATTGGAAATGAAGAAAATTACCTCTGTTCACAGATGGCATGATCATATATGTAAAAAACACTAAAGATTCCACACACAAAATTGTAAAAACTAATACATTCAGCAAACTTGCAGGATGTAAAGTCAACCCACAAAAATCATTTGTATTTCTATACACTAATAATGAACAAGTCGAAAATGATATTAAGAAAATGATTCCATTTACAATAGCATCAAGAATAAAATATTTAGAAATTGGGGCACCTGGGTGGCTCAGTCAGTTAAGCATCCAACTTCAGCTCAGGTAACGATCTCATGGTCCATGAGTTCAAGCCCTGTGTCCGGCTCTGTGCTGACAGCTCAGAGCCTGGAGCCTGCTTGGGATTCTGTGTCTCCCCTCTCTCTCTGCCCCTCCCCCATTCACACTCTCTGTCTCTCAAAACTGAATGTTAAAAAAAAATTAAAAATAAGTAAAAATAGAATACTTAGAAATGAACCTAACCAAGGAGGTAAGAGCCTTATGCACTGAAAATAACAAAAGAATGCTGAAAAAAAAATTTAAAGAAGATACAGGGCTCCTGGCTGGCTCAGTCGGTTGAACGTCTGACTTCGGTTCAGGTCATGATCTCACCATTGATGAGTTCCAGCCCTGCATCAGGCTCTGTGCTGACAGCTCAGAGCCTGGAGCCTGCTTCAAATTCCGTGTCTCCCTCTTTCTCTGTCCCTCCCCCGCTCATGCTCTGTCTCTCTGTCTCAAAAATAAATAAAAATTTTAAAAAAAGATATAAATACACTGAAAGACAATTCATGAATTGGAAAACATTATTGTTAAGATGTCCCTACTACCTAAAATTATCTACAGATTCAATGTTATCTCTGTCGTAACAATCTTCACAGAAACAGAAAAATCCATCCTTAAATTCATATGGAATATTTTTTTAAATTTAAATCCAAGTTAGTTAACATATAGTGTATCATATGGAATCTCCAAAATAGTCAAATGATCTTAACAAAGAAGAACAAAGTTGGAAGATTCTCACTTCATGGTTTCAAAATTTACTACAAAGCTACAGTAACCAAAACAGTGTGATATTAGTATAAACACAGACATCAAGAACAATGGAATAAAACAGTGAGCCCAGAAATACAATCTCACATATATATACAGTCAAATGATTTTGACTTGGGTGCCAAGACAGTTCAAAGGGCAAAGGATAGTGTTTTGAACAAATGGTGCTGAAGAAACTGGATATCTACATTCAAAAGAATGAAACTGGATCCTTACACCATATTCAAAAATTAACTCAAACTGGATCAAAAACCTAAATGCAAGGGCTAAAATTATAAAACTCTTAGAAGAAAGTATAGGGGGAAAGATCATGACATTTGGTTTGGCAATGATTTTTTTCGATATGACACAAAAGGCACAGACAGCAGCAGCAACAACAACAACAACAACAAACAGGTTGAACATCAAAATTTAAAACTTTGTTGCATCAAAGGCACTACCAACAGAGTAAAAAGAACTTATAAAGAAAATATTTCCAAATCAGATATCTGATAAAGAATCGATGCCCAGAATATATAGAGAACTCTACAACTCAACAACAAAAAAATACTTCATAAAGAAACTACAGCCAGGGCACGTGGGTGGCTCAGCTGATTAAGCAACTGACTCTTCATTTCAGCTCAGGCCTTGATTTCAGGGTCATGAGTTCAAACCCCACAATAGGCTCCAGGCTGGGCATGGAGCCTACCTAAAAAAAAAAAAAAACACTACAGCCAATTTTCCATAAAGACATAATTAAAATAAGAAGTTACAATTTAATGATAATCTACTACATACAGCGTTAGGTAACATTATTTATTACTTTTAAAACTGATAATTCATTCAACAGATTTTTTTAAGTTTATTTACTTATTTTGAGAGAGAGAGAGAGAGAGAGAGAGAGCGAGCGAGCACACAGCAGTGGAGAGACAGAGAAAAGGAGAGAATCCCAAGCAGGCTCTGCACTGTCAGCACAGAGCCCAATGCAGGGCTCGATTCCATGAACTGCGAGATCATAACTTGAGCCGAAACCAAGAGCCAGACGCTTAACCAACTGAGCCACCCTGGCACTCCCAACAGATATTTATTATGTATTATCACCTTCATTCTACCTTGCCTGAGATCATGAGGAAGCTAGTTAATGGCTGTGAGTTATTCTAAATCTAGGTGTTGAGAAATATTGATCCTTTTGCTCTTTAAAATGCTCTTCACATATTTCAACAAACTTTCTCAGTGTGAGAAATTACTACTTCTCTGCTTCCCAAGGAGCACAACCAGTCGTCATGTTTTCACACCAGATGACAAAATAAACCTTGAGAAAATTGATCTCTGAAGTTATAAACCAACATATTATCTTTTTTAAAAAAAGATTAAAAAAATATTTTTGAGGGTGAGAGAGTAGCAAGGGCAAGAGGGGGGAGGGACAGAGAGAGAATCGCAAGCAACAAGCAGGCTTCACGCTGTCAGCACATAGCCCGACATTGGGCTCGATCCCAGGAACCATGAAGTCATGACCTGAGCCAAAATCAAGAGTCAGATGTTCAACCAACTGAGCCATCCAGGCACCCCCAAACCAACAGGTTATCTTAATGTGCTTGTTACTCAGGGTTCTATGAAGGTTATTCTATATTCACTACCAAAATTCTCAAATGTTAAACAAACTGACTGTAACTCAAGTTATTTAAAAGTAAATTGTGAGTATTTAACATATAATTTTATTTAAAATAAGAAATTGCCATCTAATATAAGAAGTACCAGATATTTTCCAACTTTCTTTTTGAAATAAATATATTTGCTTTGAAAACATGGTATAAATACAGACATTCCTCTAAGAAATGCTGAGGAAACAATATAAAAAACCACCATAAAACCTATTGAATTATTTCATTTTTATCCTTTCAACTATATTTAAAGGAAAAGACCATGTGTTATATAGCTAAGAAAGCACTGATTGGTTCATAGTTCTACTATCTCAGTTTCTTCAACCGGAAAGTAGTAATAACACACTTTTCACATGGGTTTACTAGGAAAATGATACACAAATTACAGAGTATGTACTAAATAAACGTTTATCAACCTTCTGTTTCCCTCTTATCTGGCTGCCTAGGAGTTTTGCGGTCATAAGTCCACATGCTCCTAAAGTGGCCCTTACTAACTTAAGGACCTCAACTTTATGACTCCCTTATTCGGTTCCCCCCCACCCCCACCCCCCAGACCCTCTAAAACCACTGCATACTGCTTTGGAGTGTGGACTCTATAAGTCAAAGAGCCTAAGTTTGAATCCTAACTCCACTTACTGGCTGTGTGATTCTCAACAAGTTACTCAATTTTTGTAGGGCAATTTCATCACTTATAAAATGTGGATTATAACACTAGCTACTTTGTAGGGTGTGTGTGTGTGTGTGTGTGTGTGTGTGTGTGTGTGTGTGTGTGTGTGTGTATTTTAAGTTTACTTATTTACTTTGAGGTAGGGAGGGGCAGAGAGAGAGGGAGAGAGAGAGCCCCAAGCAGGCTTCATGCTGTCAGTGCACAGCCAGATGTGGGGCTTGAACCCATGAACCGGAAGATCATGAACTGAGCCAAAATCAAGAGTCAGACACTTAACCAACTGAGACACCTAGGTGACCCTAGGGTTTTATACATATTAAATAAGATACTGTAGGGGCGCCTGGGTGGCGCAGTTGGTTAAGCGTCCGACTTCAGCCAGGTCACGATCTCGCGGTCCGTGAGTTCGAGCCCCGCGTCGGGCTCTGGGCTGATGGCTCAGAGCCTGGAGCCTGTTTCCGATTCTGTGTCTCCCTCTCTCTCTGCCCCTCCCCCGTTCATGCTCTGTCTCTCTCTGTCCCAAAAATAAATAAACGTTGAAAAAAAAATTAAAAAAAATAAATAAATAAATAAATAAATAAGATACTGTAAGTAGCATTTAGAAAAGTGCCTGGCACACAGTAAACACTCAATAAATATTAGCCATCTCATTATCCTCACTACCACTACCACCACCACCATCATCATCATCTATCTGCTTCCCACCACAAAGCATTTGCAGCTTTGTAATTGTTACTTATTTCACATATTTAAGTTCTGTGATCTATGGAAACATGAGTGGTATGTTTAAATAGAGTAGCTCAGCCATTCTACTTTTTTCTTTCATCTCTTTGGTTAAAAATAGTACACTAGGGGCGCCTGGGTGGCGCAGTCGGTTGAGCGTCCGACTTCAGCCAGGTCACGATCTCGCGGTCCGTGAGTTCGAGCCCTGCGTCGGGCTCTGGGCTGATGGCTCGGAGCCTGGAGCCTGTTTCCGATTCTGTGTCTCCCTCTCTCTCTGCCCCTCCCCCGTTCATGCTCTGTCTCTCTCTGTCCCAAAAATAAATAAACGTTGAAAAAAAAATTTAAAAAATAGTACACTAAGCATTAAGTATATGTTTGCTAAATGCTTCAATGAAAGAACAAATAAAATGGAAATGGTAGACAGATGGCAACATAGACTAGCCCTACAGAACTTTTGTTGCTTCTCCAATAATTGCTTGTATTGCAAAGATAATGCAACAAGCTCACAATGTCTCCAAAGACAAATACTGACCTTATCCCATGAAGTCAGGACTATACTAGCATAAAATGACTGAAAATTTGATACCTAGTTTCACAAGGCTATCAAAATTTCAATTCTCTAACTAGGTTTTACTTTCCCACTCCAAGGTAACTACCTCTCCCCTCTCAAACCCTCATCATCTATCCCTATTTCGTCTCTCTGTGTTTATATTTTCTTGTTTTTCAAGTTTATTTACTTTTGAGAGAGACAGAGACAGCCTGAGCAGGGGAGGGACACAGAGAGAGAGGGAGAGAGAGAGAGAATCCTAAGCAAGCTTTGCACTGTCAGTACAGGGCCTGATGTGGGGCTTGAACCCATGAACCACGAGATCATGACCTAAGTTGAAACCAAAAGTCAGATGATTAACCTACTGAGCCACTCAGCTGCCCCGATGTTTATATTTTCTATATGAAGTATGAGCCAAGCAGATGTAAATTTTTTTCATGCTCTCACCAATAAATCCATAAACCTATCTTCATCTGTCCCCATCTTCTCTTCCTCTCTCCTGTTGAAGACCAAACCCTAAACATGTCATAAATCTTATCCGTTTGGCCTTCTCAAGGATTTTTCTCTTCCTCTGGTCCCTTTTCTTCTAAAACAACCTGTCTATAGAATCATTCATTACATTAAATACAATAGTAAATATCTCCTATCCTTTAAAAAAAATTCATCTATAACCACCATCTTCACCTAGTAAGTGTTCCTTTTTTTTTTTTTCTGTTCTCCCTCACAGCAAAACTTCTTGAAAAAACCATCTCCACTTCCTTACTTCTCATTCCATATTCAACCCATTCCCCATTTTCAACCCATTCTGGCTTCTGTATCCACAGCTCTACCAAGTCTGCTTGTATCAGAGTCTGATGCAGACAAGTCCATTGGTCCCTTTCCTGTCCATATCTTATTTACCTCCCATCAGCACTTTATATAGGTGATAACCCCCTCCTCTGCCAAACTATTCTTCTTTTGAGTTTCAAGACACCACATTTTCTTGGTTTTCTGCCTAACTCTCTGGCCATGCATTCTCTGTCACTTGTATTAGGTCTTCCTCCTCTGCTTGACCTCAATGGCTCAGCCCTGGGCCCCTTTTCTTCCCTCTGTAAACTCTTCCCTAGGTAAGCTTATCCATTCCCATGGCTTCCCACTGTATTCTTCACATGACCTGCAGAACACTACATGAGCTATTCCCTGACTTCCTCTCCACACTCTTTTTATGGGACTCTTCCCTTACTATATTTTAACCATACTGGATTCCTTTCAATTTCTTATATAGGTGCCTTCCTACCTTGGCCCATGCTGTTCTCTCTTCCTGAAGCATTCTTCTCTCTGTACTTTGAATGGCTGACTCCTCAACTGTCATGTGTCATCTAAACGGTCATTTCTTGGGGCTCCTGGGTGGCTCAGTTGGTTAAGTGTCTGACATCAGCTCAGGTCATGGTCTCACAGTTCACAAGTATGAGCCCTGCACTGGGCTCTGTGCTGACAGCTCAGAGTCTGGAGCCTACTTCGGATTCTGTGTCTCCCTCTCTGCCCGTCCCCTGCTCACCCTCTGTCTCTCTCTCTCAAAAATGAATAAACATAAAGAATAAAAAATAAACTGTCATTTTTCAGAGGACTTCCCAGATCCCCTTCCCCCTCCACCTTTTATATTATCCCTCCTTGTTCATTTCCTTCATAGTCCTTATCACAATTTGTAATTATACATTTGTTTGCTTTTGGTTATTCCCACTAATCTTTACATAAGGGTAGGGATCATAATGTCATTAGTGTAAATTCAGCACCCAGCATAGTGACAGACAAATAACAAGCACACAATATTTAAGTAAATTAATGATCTGGCACTCACTTATTCATTCATTAACAGACGTTTGTTGAACAATTTGTAAGTGACAGGTACTGTGGGGCCTAAATGCTGGGAATAAAAGATAAATCAGAATCAATAACATGATCCTTATAGTCCAATGAGAATGACAGAGACAGTACTGTGTGACAAATGCTATGACATGGGTGAGGTGGACTTTCAGCCAACACAATTTTTTGAAGAATGTGAATGGAAAATATTGCCCTAACTTCATTAGAAACCAAGTTTAATCCAAAAGCTTTTCCTGTTTTACCATGCTGGAATGGTTCAAATCACAATGTGAATAATAACACAAGTTTTTAGGCAGAGTATGAGGAAAACTGAATTACCAAAGAATATTCTATTTTTAAAGTAGCCATTTCTTACTGTCCTATGTATTGGTTTCCATCAACAGGTAAGTAAATATGAAATCAGGAAAATAAACTTGTTTTGGGTTGAATTGTCCTTAAATAAGAGAAACACGTGAATAATTTAAAATATTTCTGGGGTGGGGTGCC